AAATTTTATACAATTGATAAAAAAGATTCTCCATTAAAATTTGGATGGAATTGTTAATGAATCAAAACTTCATTGTCATCATCCACTCAAAGGTTATCGTCATCATCAAAGCAACCCCAATTACTACCCTTAAATCCATTTGCGGCTTGATTCTCAAAGATGCCGATACACATGCGGATTGAATGCTCTAGCTTGGAGATTGGAATTCCGGGAGACACCGATGAGTTGGAGCTGATCTACATCAATGCCAGGCAGAGGCTGCTTGTGAATTCGTTGCGGCACCCGAGCTCCGGCGGAGAGGGGGCTCAATTGGTAAGGATTTAATTATGAGCCTAGGGTAGAATTCAATCGTGGCGGCGGTGGGGTTTGATATGTTTGACTGGAGAGGGAAGAGGATTGATCCGTCGATTGTTCAGAAGCATGCAAGGAGAAAGGGGATTTCGCTTGGATGTGGGTCTCTACGGAACGTGGGATTGCCGGAGAAGAGAGATGGTGGTTTTATAGTGACGTCGGCGATTGGAATGGTGACTAGGGTTGCAGGAGAAGAGAACAGTGTCAGGATTATGGTGGTAACGACGGCGATTAGGACGGTGATGTGGGGTTGCCCGAGAAGAGATTCGGTGGTTGGATAAGCGTGTACCGGACTGCTACCCTTTCACTGACGAATCGGAATTAGTGGATGGTGTACGACGGCGAATACACCATGGAAACAATGATAGAGGCTGGAGCTCGCGTCTCGTTAGCGGAATTCTCCTGGCTGGAGTTGTGAATCGAAACGGAGAAACTTCAGATGCAGAGTGAGATGGTAGGGAAGAAGAATAGTCGCGCCAAAGGACGGCGTTGTGTGTTCTAGGCGAAAACGACAGAACGATGACGTTTCTATATTAGTGACAAATCTAGTTATTTACAGTAGTAGCGTAGCTGTCCGTCTGGGCAAAAATATATCTTGGAGGAAGCCTGGTATGAGGATTCAGTGCTCGAACCAGGAACCACTAACCTACTTTTGCAAAAGGCACCATGTTCACCATGCTGGTTGGACTAGAGTCTTTCATTTGACACACCTACACCTTTAATTATAAACGATTAATGGTTTATGCTAAAATTAAAGGCTAAAACTAAAACTGTGTCTTTGTCACAATCAACATCCACATTATGTACCATATCATTTGGAGAGATAATTTTCATCATGAGATATATGAAGAACGATCGTCGAAACCGAATAAACGAGAATGGTTAAATGACGGGTTGGTGACATATATGATATATTTAACAAGATATGTGCACACTAGTATGAAATCTTGTGACGGTTTGTTTTAAGTTGTGTATGTCAAACTATTAGTCTGTAATTGTTTCATGTTGACTTTTAATTTAATTTGGAGTATAATTCAATACTTTGACTAATCGGGACCATCAATTATTATCTATTTAACTTTTGATTATATGAATATTATGGTTTGAGTTTACAGAATTAGGGATTCAGGCGAAACAATTAAAAATTACGGTATAGTATTGCGCTTCAAATCCGGTTGATTCGTGATCTAAATAGCAAAACACGATGGACATTCGTATATTGTTGTGAAATGAGAAACCTTAACCAAGCAAAATGTCTGAAAATTGTTACTTCATATTGTTGATAACATATGTGAAGACAAAAAATAATAGTGATACGGTATAATACAATATGAATAAAAAATTTGATTGGCACACATACTTATACAAAATTAGTGTTGTATATTACACAAAATCTAGGTTTAATGAAATGTTGTTTATAATTGTTAAATCGTGTATTGGTTATAGCCAATAAAGGTCTTTCACGGGCTTCATTATCCGCTTGATCAGATATATGGCAATCACATGCTCCGCACGATCAGTTCTCATAGTTATCCCACGTGCAAACGAGTCATAGACAATGGGTTGACTTTTGGTTGACTTTTGTCTATCGTTGTTTCTCAATACTGGAAACCCAACTGTCTGGGAGCAGATCCGGTGAGTAACTTTGTGATGAGTAACCATGAGTAACCCGTCCACATCAGCATGACATCAGCATCCTCTCTCCTGGAAAGCCTTTAATTTTCCCCTCTTTAATCTTTGACAGACGATTTCTCACTCATTTTAAGTCGAATTTTAATTTTTTTTGCACAGTTAGATCAGATTAATTGTGCTCTTCAAAATGATATCCACTTTAATATATATTTCGGACAAAAAATATTGAGCCATTTTTTACCAGTCTATACCATATGGTATTGACTGGCATTGAAATAAAAGCAAACCTATGGTTTGAAAAAAGTATCATGGTGGTATGAACAAACCAAGACTGTAGGATGGTTGAATACATGATAGTATAAATATATTAATTGTCATTTACGACTTTTAACATTGTATACCACAAGATACCACCCCGTACCAGGGTGGTATTGTATGGTATTGTGTGGTATTTTTTGGTCCTGTAATTTGTTCATCCATAAATTTGTAGATCCAATAGATCATGATGAACTCGTCCCTTCTGTGCAAACGTTTTCAAAAACGAATTAAAAACGAAGAAGATACCATACAATACTACCCCGTACCAGGGTGGTATTGTATGGTATTGTGTGGTATTTATTGGTCCTGTAATTTGTTCACCCAGAAATTTGTAGATCCAATAGATCATGATGAACTCGTCCCTTCTGTGCAAACATATTCAAAAACGATTTAAAAATGAAGAAAATACCATATGGTATGCAGTTGGTACCGAGAGGCCAGAATTTTTTGTTCTAAAAAAATATTGAAAATTGATCTCATTTTGTAGAGGACGATGAACTTGTTCCACCTGTGCAAAAAAAATTAAAATCCGAGTTAAAACGAAAAAGATATGAGCCGATTAAAAAAGCTTAAGAAAATAAAAAATAACTTTAATTCTCCATCCTTAGATCTGGATTTTCTAAATGAAGGGTTCAGATTTGGTTATTGATGGATGCATAACTAATGGTTATGCACCCTATCTTGAGCCCAACTGTCTCAATCTTTTTTATGCGACATCATATACTTTCTTTTAATCCGACGTTGTTTCCCTGCTACAAAGCCTAATTATATATGTCGGTTTAAATTACAAGGTGCAGTTACATATTAGATTATGTTGAAGGTAAAGGCTAATTAACCAAACTACATATGTGGTTCACTTGAAGATTTGTATTTTCGTCACCAACAAGTGAACAAAATCACATGTCGTTGTTTAAAAATCAATAAAATAAGTGTAATCGTAAATAATATGCTTGAAAGATTAACAATTTGAGCATGTGAGAGATAGGGATGATATTTATTTTAATTCAAATGAATTTATGCGTTAACATCGTGAACATATTAAATTCTTGGGGAATGTTTATTTTTTATTCAAATCCTTTTTAGATTCTTTTATATTATTCAAACCTATCGAAATACTAAGAATTAGTCAAATGTTAACTTTCAGTTAGCAATTTTGTTAGTAATATTGACTTGGCAAATATGATACTGACTTGGAAGAGATATATGAATGTCAACATTCCAAAAATTTGTATTTTAACTGAGAAAAGGGTTACAAAATTATTAACAATAACATAAAAATAGCTAATATTTTGATGCATCATGAAATATTTGGATAATTAATAGAATTTTAATAGGTTTGGATAATATAAAAGAATCTAAAAATGTTTGGATAAAAAATACACATTACCCTAAATTCTATTTGTGCTTAAACTGAAAATAACTAATAACCTTTAAATTTCCCTCTAATTAATCCAAAAAATATTTCCCTCTATTTGTCGTTACTAATGCAGATTACTGCTTTGCTGGAGGAAAAGTTCAAAAGATTATTTGCAATACATTTCTCCCTAAATCTAATTTATTATTACAAACTAACCAATTTGTGGAGGCAAAATTCAAACGTGAAACAAAATTTAACATTTCAAAATTTCCTTTCTTACTCTTTTTAGAAGACCGCCTTTTTTATCCGCCAAAAAATTGGACGACTCTTTTCAATGAGAGCCGCTTGCTCTTGTGGTAGCCAGGACTCGCTATTTCTTCTCGTTTTGCTTCACAAACTTCTTGTTCTTGGTTTCTGATTTTGTCGTGATGATTTAAATTGCGTCGGATCAGACAAATAATTGGCAACCAAAAGTCACATGTTTGAGTCCATTTAAATTGCACTGAACCTTGTGAAGCCAAGCACGGGCCTCAACCAGAGCAAACAACTAGAGCCCATATTACTCAGAGGATTTTCCACCACCAAATTTTTTATAGTAAGTGGGCTAGTGGAGTTATCGGGAACCACCGATGTGGTACTTTTCTAGCACCATCTATCTCCTCTTTCTCCACCTCTCTTCTTTTCTTCTTTGACCTGGCTAATGGCTATAACCTTCATCCAACTTAGGTTGATATTCCTTCTCCATTGGAAAGCCACGTAAGGCTATGGTCAGAATTCCAACCACAACAGCAAGAAAGTAGGATACCATGAAAACATAGTATTCAGTTGGATTCTTGTTTTTCCAACCAGGGAATGGCTTCCCAATTTATGTCTCTTCATTCATTCTTAACCCACCCATTACATATTCTTAACCCATTACATATTCTAAGTACTTTAAATACTCATGCTTTAAATTAAACTACATATTCTAAGTACTTTAAATACTCATGCTTTAAATTAGTTTAAGAATAATGAACTCATAGTTTAGTGTGCTTAAGAAGTGTGTGGTACTTAAATATTTTTATTTATTAGGCATGACTAGAGCTTGTTCGCGAGCCTTCGAGCTGAACATGGTATGGCTCGAATTCGGCTCGTTCAGTTAACGAGCTTGTTTGCAAGCCGGCTCAGTTAAGACGAGTCGATTATCAAACAAGTTTTTCTCGAGTCAAATGCCGAGCCGTTCATGAGCGGCTTGGTTCATTAACAGCCGTGAGTGTATCTAGAAATATCAAATTTCTCATAATCAAAGAATTTTATATTTTCATTTGGGTCATCTATAAATAAGAATAATGGATCAAATAACAAACAACGAATCAAACAGAATCAAGTTAAATATGTTTGATATTATCAATTATTTCTCATTTGTTATAATTTTATACCCAAGTGCCTCACAATCATTAAATATCCAAACTAGGAATATTTCTTATATCGTAATTAGGTTGTAAACAAGTCAAGCTAAGTCGAGTTTTTACCTAGCTCATACTCAAGAGTTCGGCCTCGAATCGTTTACTAAAATTCAACACAAAATCGAATATTATGAGCTCACTAGCTCTACTTGAATCTATTTTAATAATGTAAAATGTAGTGATTAAGATACCCTACCGTTCGTTCAGACAGAAAAATACATAGATCGACAATTATCTTTTGCACTATATTTGGTCGTCATAAACCCAATTCGCCTAAACCTAATTCACGGTGAACCTCCATCGCCATCATCCAAAATCGCCAACACGCATGGAAGTTGAAGATCAAACTTGATAATGAACGACCAACAAACCCATAAAAAAATTAGTCGTTTACGCCATTTACTATAGTTTTTTGGGATGCCATTTGTCGTTAAATAACATAAGCTAATTATAATTTATGAAATAATTATGATACCAAAATAGAAAAGAAATTGAAGCAGAGTAATTACTTATAATTTCCCGCTAATTTGGAATTAGAAAAAAAAATACGGGAGTGAGAAATGGAAACATTAAAATTCTCCCTCTTGTTTTTTCAGAAACCCTGTTTTTATCCGCCAAAACAAAATGTCATTTCTTTGCAACCCTTCCCATCCCACTGAAACATAATAGCACAGTTTCATTCTCTCTTTCCATTAATCGTTTGATGTTTCTGGGAAATCTGGTCGATTTGGGGTCTTCGAAGCTGGCCCACTTTGCCGGCGGCCGAAGGTGTGGCCTTGTCGATGAGCACGCGGAGCTTCAGATCTACGATTTCTGGGATCTATGGCGCATGCATTTCGCATTATGAATCACTCGAAGAAGGTAGGCTTCCGAATCTCTGCACTTCCCTCGCCCCGATTCGGCTTTGATTCACTGAAACAACGATTGGTTCAGGTTCATGCTCTGGTAGCGAGCAACGAAACGGTGATTGAAGCTGGGATCGGAGATGAGGGAGCTCCACAGCTTGCAGACGGGTTTGTAGAGGAAGGCAGATCTGGGATTGGGGAGGAGAATCAGAATCTCGACGAGGAGGCCGTCTCCGAGTTTGCTGATGGCGGAAGGAGGGTTTCCTTCTGAACTGATTCGCCACCATTTTCTAGGGGCGGGACGATGGCAGATTCCATTCCGTGTTGCAGTTGTCGAAGACCATGGCGATAGACAAACAGACGGATTGAGGGAAGACAACTCCGATGCCCGCGCCGGGGGAGAAAAGATGCGGTAGTATACAAGCTCGGGTGACGACAGAGAAGGCTTTGATTCACTGAAAGAACCCATTACAGGCCAGAAAGAGTCCTTTCATAAACATAGAGAATTCCAAGGGGACACAGCTCCTATGCTCATTTGACAGTATGGATGCATGAAATCTTTTTCTTCTATTATTTAAAACATGTAGATTTATATGTTAATTCCTTGTTTTCTGTTTGTCTCTACATGTTTCATATATGTAACAGAGGGAGGAGGAGAGGTCAAAGGACAGAGAAAAAGGGAAGACCATAAATATTGATCCTTTCATGGAAGAGCTGAAGCATGAACATGAATTGAGGTGGTTTTCTTTTCCTTCAATAGTGATTGCCCTTGTTTTATCTTGGATTGTAATATGGTGGAGTGAAATTAGTAGAAGACATGTTCGTAGTCTAATGTTCAGTAGCAGAGTTTAACCTTTTAGATTAAGTCATGTTCTTAGCCTAATATTGGACGACTAAGTGTATGCTAGGTGAGGCTCTTATGCTTTTTCATAATGCTCATCTGGTAATTTTTTGTGTGAATATGGTTGAAATGTGGCAATGGAAGTCGAAACTGTGAATAACATGTTTTTGTTGACTCGGTATTTGGTGCTTTAACTGCTGCTTCTAGCCTTGCTCCTGCTTCTTTCCTCGCTATAGTTTAGAAAGTTTCAGTTTGCGGGTTTAGCAAAGAAATGGACACAGGATAGTGAATATGTGTTTGGATACAAAATACTTTAGCTAACGATGCTCTTTTCTAGTATGGTCCATAGAAACCACCCTAGATTTTGATGATTAATGGCGTAGATTCATTTGCAATTCCTGCCATTGATGGTTTCGTTATTGCTTAAATGAGTGAGTGATGTTTTAGCTGCTTTTATTAGGTCAAGGAGGTAAAGGAAAGTGGAGCAGAGCTGAAATTACTTCAGACATGTATATAGACGTGGGCTCAACAGATTCAAGGTAGAGTATTCACAGGTGTCATGACTGTAAACCCCTCATCTATGTTTCACCTTGGAGGAGCTAGGTAATTATTGGTGGATATGATACGTGATGACAAGAGCTGTGTATAATTGACAGCAGGGATGTTAGGGGGATTCAAGATTTCGAATACCAGGTGTGGGGTCAAGTCCAGAGCTTGAAGTTATCTCTGGATGAGCAGAACTTGGGACATTGCTGGTAAGTGAATCAGTTAACAATTTTGCTGCCATGAGCAAAGGATTAATTAAAGAAACCCACTACTACTTGTTGCAAAGCAGACACCAAAGTTGCTGAGGTCCAGAACTAACTACCAAGCTTTCAATTATAAGCGGAGGGCTGAGGATGAAACGGATTGATTATATGCATAGTTCGTGGATTATTCCAAGGGGACACAACTCCTGGCTTAAAGACTGTTGTTAGGGGCGGACTGATCAATCCCAATGACAAAGTGAAGTATGAATCTCAAGTTTAGTCTGTATTAGTTCTCTAGTTTGGAATACGGTTTCTGTTCTTGACATGATGAAGTAAAATACTTGATTTGGGTTCATGTGTTGCAGATCAAAGAGAAGACGAACAGTACTTAATTGATCACCCTGGAGCAGCTCCCATCACAACAGCACAAGGAGAAGAACTGAAGAAAGTGGTTGGTGTTGTGCCTTACATTGAGCGGAGCTCCAAAACTCAGCAGGTTCGTATATTTATCAGCATGTTAATCAAGAAAAAAGAAGGCATATTAATATGTAGCATAAACTGCAGCATCCACCCATTTATGAATGAAGACTGTGTTTGATAGTGTTGTTTTGTGAATCAGAATGTGAAGACGGTGTTTGATACCATGATAAAGATAGTTTTGCGACCACAAAAGTCGGAAGAGGAAGCCTTGCAAGCAAAGGACATGCACCACCCTTCAGCAATCAGCAAGATCTGGTTGTCGAGGTCTCGCCAGAGTCAAACTGGTTCTAAGGAATACAAGACACGTGCTGCAGTTGGTGTAAGTTTATCTCAACCCCTATTACATATCAATCTGGTCCCTATGTTGGACCAGTCTACTTATGTTAGATAAATTATGGTATAAATTTAATAACCAACCATATGCATATCAATCTCAGGCACCTCGAAGAGAAGATGAAGAAGACAACAAAGTTAAAATCAAAGCAACCTTGCAAAAAATGCACGAGGTATGTCCTTGAATAACTAAGAACTCATTTCCAACTCTCTATGTTCGTCAAACCAAAAAATAAACCGTCAAAGGCTGCACTTGTTGTAAATCAATCAAGCTAAAAGATTCTGTCCCGTCAATTTCAATGAACACATAACAAAAACTGAGTGCTTTTCAACTCCTTGCTCTGGATGTTGTTCAACTTCTTGCCCTGTCTGTGTTGTTCAACTTCTTGCCATGTCCCCTCTTCTGAAACATAAAAAACAAGATAAAAGAACATTGAAACTGTAACTTTTTTAGCAAAGGTTCTCACATAATATATACATTAGGATGCATTAGATTATTTTCACTAAAAAAACCTGTTGGGTCCTCTCAGATTGGCGTTCAGAACATTGAGTAGAAGGCTCCACACTAGGTTATGTATGCTTATTGGATTTCCCTTGCTTCTGATGTGTCATAGTACTACTCCTAGTACGTGGCCCAGTCTGTTACAAGAGTAGAAATTAAACTCTTAAGTTGATAGCTACTTCTACCAAATAGAAGAAAATTTAGAAAGCAAGTGTTGTATAACCTTATGTAGCTTTGGTATGTTTTCCGTAGGCTCTACATTAGCATCGTGGTTGCTGGTCCGCTGCTTCTGATATAACCATTATAACAAACACTTAGTTTTTTAGAACTCTTAATTCTGATAAGAACTCAAATATGTTTTACCAATTACCTTTTGGGGCCGACCACTTTGGTCATCGTCATCATCTCCATCATCACCTCCATCATCACCTCCATCATTGTCCTCAAAATCCATATCATCGTCGTCATCCTCTTCATCAGACAAAGATTCTGTAGCTGGCGGCACGTAGCCTTCGGGTTCAGGACAAGTCTTAATATAATGACCGTCCCTTCTACCGCATCTCCCACACTTCCTCTTCTTTTTCTTCTGTTGTTTTTTAGCCTTTCCTTTTCTACATCCCTTGAACATCACTTTTTTGGGGTTGAGGACTCTTTCGAACTCCTTAGGTATTACCATCGATTCCCTTTCATCCGGAGTTGTTCTCATCATTTCCAACTTGTCCCTCACTACTGTCAACCCCCCTCGAGCAACCTGGAAAGATAGAGGAGTCTCTGCCCCCAATAGGAAAATATGTGTAGCCAAGAACTGGAGTGACCCATATCTGGTGTTGAAAGAATGATCATCCCCCAACTTAGGTGGCAGTGGCATACTGTCTATTGACTTTGGGTTCTTTAAGCAACGTTTAAGTACCACTTTCTCAGGAAGACTTTTCACCCGTTCTTCTTTCAACACACAGAGCATATGAGTGCAGGGAATTCCAACACTGTTAAATTTTTTGCAGCTGAACTCCATATCCTTTTTTTCAATGTTGTATTTTAACTCCACAACCTCCTGTTTGTTGAACATACTTAAACTGTAGGTGTGTATGTTTCCATCCTTAGATTGAGTGTTCTTTATGCACCCAATAACCTGCTCTAGTTCACTTATGAATTTAAGAAATGCAGCTTTCGAGAACAACTTAACTGCACTTTCTTCAAGGGGTCTAAGCATGGTGCTCTTTAGCGGGGTTAAACCATAATTAGATTTAAAATCTAATTTGATCTCTGTTTCCCTCAAATCCCTACACCAACGATCATACTGAATGAAAAAGTCAAGCAAACAGTGTCTCTCCTCCAAATATCTTCCAACAAATGCATTTATACCTTCATTTCTTGATGTGGTTGTCAGCCCGGCAAAGTAGTGGGTGCACAAGTATGTGTCCGCTTGTAGCTCCCTTCAGTCTCATTAGCTAACAGTGCACTCCCAAATAAGCAACTCGTGAAATGATGGTTGATACCTGAAATAGCAAGTGCTTCTCAACTTGTTTACAGATTAGAAAATTGAATATGCGAACCAAAATTAGCACTAAGGTGTGTACCTGTGAAAATAACAAGAGGCATATTGTAAATATTTTTTTTGTATGTCGTGTTAAATGCGAGCAACTCTCCAAAGCACGAGAGGTCAGCTATGCTCATACTGTCTGCCCAGAATAAACTGTGGAGCCTATTTTCCTCGTCAGTAGTGTACCGGAGGATGAAGTGCGTGTCCGTACTTTTCTTCGATTCTAGATAGGCCCGTGCGGCTGCCGCATCACTAGGACATAGCCTTTCATTGCGATCTCGAGTGCTGAAATTCATCCCATCATTTACTGTATACCCAACTTTTTCATGTCCTCCAGCATTATGCACAACAAGCTTTATGATTTGAGAAGGTTTCATACCTGCATTCTTCTTAAATCTAAAGTTGCCTTGTCAGCCTCTGTTAACCCTCGTTGTGATCTCAGGTGATGAGTACACTGCCGATTAATTGGCATATGATTGTGATCTTCTTTAAATATATCCACTGTCCATTTTGAATCATTCTTGCTAAATGCCACACGCATTTTTGCTTTACAACCAAATCTGGTCTCCATAGGGGAGTCTCTCTTTTTCTCCCCTTTGTTGGGGGCTCTATGTCCCTCACAAGAACAAACGAAAGCTCCAGTAGTAACCTCTCCCTTGCTGTTCAGAACTTTCTTTGAGCGCCTAACAGAGAATCCCCAAGCCCTTGCATAATCATTGTAGAAGTTGGAAGCTTCTTCGAAGTCATTAAATATCTGGCCGATTTTAGGAGGATCTAAAATCACATCTTCCATCCTAGTCGTTTCTCCATTCAGAATGCCATTGTCGGTTTCTCCTGTTTCCTCTAAACTCTCAAGGTCATCTTTGATGGGACTGTTACGAGGATGTTCTTCTTCTTCCATCGATATAATGGATGCAAACTTCTTTGGTTTAGGGTCTCGGCAGGGTGGGATACTGACTATAGGTGGTTTGGTAGGGTTGGAGGCGGCGAAACGTGTATGTACGTACAAGAATTATGCCCAACATGCTGCTGGAAACCTATTTTTACCCCTCTGTTGTTTTGTCTATGTTAAGAATGATTATTTTAGTACTTAAATTTAAGTTAGTTACATTATTATTTTAATATTTTTGGCAGCGTAACCTTCCACTTCAATTAATTATCCAATGCTGCCATGTGTGAATTGATTCATTTATTTTTTATTTATTTGTCTCTCTCCGTACTGATCTTCTTCCTCCCAAAACCTTCCATCTTCACCTTCTGTGTTCTGTACGGAGGAAAAAATGGGAACACACTCTATTCCCCTTCCTCTGGAATTTCCCCGCCTTTAAACAAAACTTGCACATGAAAAGATGACACATATGATACATTCTACCTGCTCATAGAAAAGTTTGCTGCAAAAATCCATCTTACACATCTTTTCTATATGCAACAGGTGGAGGTAAATCTTCTCACAAGTGAAACCACAATTCTGAGATCATATCTCGTATATGACTGTGGACAAAGTCTGAATCCTGCAGTAGACATGGGACAGGTTGTACACACAGATATTCCATTAGATAGACTGAAGTTCTAATCTTTGAAGAACACATGACGTCGGAGGTCTTGATGTTTTAACTTCTGTCTTTGTTTGCTTGCAGATTGAAGGAGCTTTTGTTCAGGGAATAGGGTTCTTCATGTTGGAAGAGTACAAGACTAACTCCGATGGTTTAGTCACAGCAGACAGAACTTGGAGATACAAGGTTCCAACCATAGACACCATCCCCAAACAGTTCAACGTCGAAATCCTCAGCAGTGGACATCACCAGAACCGAGTTCTGTCATCAAAAGGTAAATGATCCTCTTAAAAAATCGGATGAACAAAGCCGTGGTAACAATGAACAGACAGTAATTTCAGCTCCACATAAAACCCCATGTAGAGTTGAAACTTACAGGCTACAACACATAGTATGCAAATTGTTTGCCTAAAGATCCCGACTTTATTGGCTTTTTCTTCTTGTATGTAGCTTCCGGTGAACCACCCTTGCTGCTAGATAATAAACAAATAAACAAATAGATATTACACTAACTTTAATTAATGATAAAAGATTTTCCCGTATATCTTTAATAGAATTTTCTAAGTTGACTTAATAAGGTAGATAAATATTACACTTACCATAAAGAGAAAAACACTCTACATCCCCCTTTTTTAAGACGCGTGAAACCCCTTTATGCTTTCAGGAATACCCAGCTCTGTGACGGTAGGATTAGAAGAGCACAGTTCCGTACTGTTCTGTGAAGCTGGAACAGAAGAGGACCATTGGAAAGCCAGGGTAAGTCAATTATATACACAAGGAAGAAGGCCACCATCGTAAAGTCTCTCTTTCTTCTAAATTCCTCTTTTGTTCATTATGATTTCTTTTTTATCTCAGGGACAAGAATAAGATGAAGCATGTTATTGACAGCGGGATAATGACAAGATCAAAGGCGCGGTCGTCCGATATAATGGTTTTTCAGTTTACATGTTTTCATATCTCCGTCGTTGGCAGCTTATTTTTCGTTAAAAACTAAAGAACGACGATTGTTTTTGTTACTATGAACGTAGGAGCCGGAGAAGGATGTATCTCCGGTAAAGAAAGCTAGAACTGAAGTTGGTGTGATCCCTCCATCGACGCCGGGATCAAATATGATTGTTCTTGATTGTGAATCGAGGGGAGATGGTAATGCTTTAGTCTGGAAAAGTCGTACCAGATTTTCTACCCTGCAATTCACCGAAAAGGTATTTTTATCCACCCCACTAATATTTTTCTGCCTTAAAATGGAATCAGTGGTTATATTTTTATCGAACCCACTAATATTCTTTCGTCTTCCATTGCAGGCAGAAACTAAGTTTAGGCTGCCTCACGCTGTCAACTACAGTGAGGAGGAAATCAAACTTGCTCACTACATATTTGCAGCTGACCTTCCGTTAAAAGAGGTCCTAGTCGATACCATGATGAAATCCTATACGCGAAAGGCACTATTGTCCCTCTGCCCTAACTCCAATGTTGATGCTGATGTAAGTTTTAATCCTGGCCTATTGTTACTAATCAGGATGTTGAAGGGTGTTTTATATCTTGTTGTTTGCACATCATTTGTTAATGAGTAGATGACGATTCGTGGGAAAATTGATAAGGATCAAGGGGTAGCCTGGATCATGTCCTTTCTAGCCAGAATTTGAGTCTGGTGGTTGTCGTTCTTTCTTTGGTGGTGCCTGTTTATATGACCTGCCTTTGGTTTGTTGTTTTTTTTTCTCCTGTGTATTTTTGCACTTTTCCCTTTGTTTCTTTGAGGAGTGCACTGCTAGTGCAGCTTTGCTTCTAGTTTCCTCTCTGATTTTTTTTTGTATCTGTACACTGTTCTTCTATTTAATTCCCTTTGTTTCTTTGAGGAGTGCACTGCTGGTGCAACTTTGCTTCTAGTTTCCTCTCTGATTTTTGTTTTTGTATCTGTACACGGTTCTTCTATTTAATTCCATTACTCGCCATTATAAAAAAAAGTTTTAATACAAATTATTGGCAATTTTTTTAGTAAGGCAGCATTGCCACATCTAGGGCCGATCTGGAAGTGTTGGAGTTAATGATGCTTTCATTGATGCTAAGTACATGGTAATAATTGGCTTAGTAACTAGCTAATTACATTTCTTTTCTCGAAATTCAAAATGGAAAGTCAGCTCGGTGATAGCTAAGTTGTTTAATTGTATTGGGTTGTTCTTTGAAGTGTTATTTAACATATTTCGTTTGAAAATTGAGGATATACTGGCTTGAATATAGTTGTTCCTGCATTGAAATTGTCACATCATGCAGAAATATGGGTAAGGTCTCGATAAGCTTCAACAGATAACCATGAACTTCAAGCATGAAACTTTAGAAAAGGCCACCGATTACTTCAGCCTATCAAAGAAGCTAGGCCTCTTCTAATATGCTTTCTTTGCTTCTCATTTTCAATAGAGTTAGTAACAGATTGCCCCTTACCTCTCTCCTTACCGTTCAACTCGCATAATACCAATCTCCTAAAATTTGTATACCCTGGTTGGTTGGTGTATTAGGTAATTACAGCAATGACTTGCCACTTGACCCTGGACGAAATTTCGAGGGATGCTGGCCGTGGAAGAAGAGTATGTTTTCTGCCTACTGAACTGCAGGTACATATTGATTTACCTTGTACATTTATTTTAAGTGAAATATACTGTTTGTTCTATGGTATATAATAAACGTTTAATTCTGCTAATTTAATCAAATCATGATTAGGAAATGGTACTTAACTATGGCATGAGACCGAAAAAAGCTTTAGAGTGTTACGGTACAAAGTTT